GTCTAAGTTAAAGATTGTTTTAATCGGCAACTTTTGACACGACACAAAATTGAGAGCAAAGACCGAATAATTTACTACAAGGTATTCTGACAGTTCTAAAGATCTCTTGTGGCAATTTGTACGCAAATTGATCTTTTAATTGGGGGTTTCAGAAATAATGTAATCTTCTTAAAAGAAATATAATCTTATTATTCGGCGTTAACCAAATAATCTAATACAACAAGACTTATGGGTACGGCTTGGTCAAAGAAAATCTCAAAATTGAAACAAAATAAACTATCAATTCAACAAAACCAACGGCTTATTTAGAGTGGAGGAGCATCCACTACTTGCTACTTTACTCGTAAGATTGATGATGATCAAAACAATAAAATAATAGTGTATTCTCGAGTAATATTATCATTACAAGTAAGAACTTTGTTATTTTATTTGATCAAAAGCATATCAACATTAGTTCTTTTCTACTGAAAAGAATCTCTTTTTATATAAAATTGATGACTATGCTAATTATATGACTTAGGTTCTTTTTTAAATATCAAATCAATATCAAATTTCTAGCATTATCAGGCAAAGAATCTTATACAAGTTCAATTTAATGTCGAATTTCATAAAAGGTATACGTATTGTAAATGTCAAACTACATGTACATGTACATGATATCAAATTACGTAACATGTGTAATGTCAAAATAATGTCAAATATTTGTAATGGGATAAATATACATGTAGTTAATAATAAATAATAAAGTTATGGAATGGTATTACCATTACATGTACATGTACTACGTAGTGAATTGTGCTATCACATGGACATCATTTGGTGAGCCATTTACAAATGTAGAAGTCATTTACAAAGACTTTATTTAAAGTTTCGTTATGTATTACAAATAAGATCCAGTGAAGTTTGAAATTCCTTATCGTTATACATGTACATTATTTCTTCATTTAACGTACAATTTCATTATCTACTCACGTTCACGTTTTTTAATTTTTCTTAGGAATTTCTAACCTGATTATCTATTACTACGTCAATGAAGAACCTTGCGGATACAATGATGCAATGGTAGCTTCCACTTCAGAATAAAGAGGATTTTTTAAACTTGAGCCAAGATACTGTTTAATCTTTTGGAATGATCGATATTACGATTACCATATACATGTAGTTCCGAAATTAAGCACCCCCACATTTTGTATATTAACCAAAAATAAACACCCTCTAAAAACAGCATAAACTTCGAAATTTTACAAATGAAAGGGTTCTAACTAACTTATATTATTGTATATAAATTGCAGCTGCATTTGATAATTTTTTACATTAACCTTTTTCTTTGTTATCGTTACTTTTGACTTATGGCATTGTCGTGTGAAATAAGTACATGTACGAACGTTCGTAAGCACACAAGGTCAGTCAGACGATCACTTGAACACCCAAAAAGAGCAAATTTAGTTACACCCGAAATTAAGCGGTAATACGTATTGTTCTATTAATAATTTTTTTCATTGCCATCATTTGCGTTGTCATAGTATTGATTTTTATTCTCATAATTTGCGTTTATTTCTGGTATTTACTACTTAATGTTTTCATTGTCGTAATTACTTTTCATACGTCGTAATTGTTTGCAAATTACAGTATTATCATTGTTAGCTACTGTTATTTAGTTCATTGTCGCCATTTGCGTTGCCATTATATTGCTTTGGGTATTTAGTTCTCAGTATTTTCATTGTCGTGATTATTCGCATCGTCATTCGTGTTGTCATTTATTACTTCTATGAATTTGCAAATTATGGTCATTGTTAGCTTCTGGTATTTAGTACTTAATATTCTTATTGTCGTCATTTGCGTTGTCATCGTATTGCCTCTGGTATTTAGTTTTTAATATTTTCATTGCCGTCATTCGTAGAGCTGCTTGCTATAATTCATTTTTGATATTTTGACAAATGTTGTTATTGTATTGCTTTTATGAATTTTGTTCTATTTTATTGTTGTCTTGTATTGCTTCTTCTTTAGTTTTTAGCAATTTTATTGTTGTCGTTCGCTTTGCCATTGTATGGCTTCTATGAATTATTAATATCATTCTATATAACGTGCTTTATTGCAAGTGTATGCTCTGTTATATTCAATCAACAAGTGTTAGAAACAAACTTTTCTTATAAAAAGAAACGCTCTCTCGCACTCTCCCAAATCTTTATTCTTTACTTTTCGAATACGAAGCAATAATTCGAAACCAACAAGAAACTTGAATCAAAACACCAATCATGACTACTTTCAAAAAATTTGTTTGGGTCGCTCTAATCCTGGTTATCTGTCTTTTCGCTTCATCTGACGCAATGCCTGCTTCAGCTAGTTCAAATGACAACAGCAGCGATGGTCCTGGCGACGGTGCTAACAACGGTGTTGTAGGGGATTGGTGTTGTAAACATAACTTCCCAAAATGTTGCCATATCTTTGGTGGTGGAATTCAAGCTGGAATTGGAATTACTCAGAATTAGATAAGCTTGCTGTGGGAATTAAAATATTTAAAAACAAAAAAATGCACATATACATGTATATTGAAAAGCAGCAATTATATTTTAAAATATTAGTTTAGGATTTGAGTGGCTAGCTAAAAAGTAAAGCAGATGATAACGTTATAAATATTTTAAAACATGTATATTGAATATAGTAGCATTGAAATTTTTATTTGCTTTAATTGCTATATAGCTTGATTGATATGTTTGAAAGTAAACTTAATTTTTTTATCATGCTAAAGTGAAATAACTGTTATTTAATAAATATCAACAATTTATTTTTTCAAGTAGAATTCGTATGATTTCCTTAAGCAAAATGAGTTGAAAAAAAAAATGCATGCGTTAAATACTTAAGCTAATAACCTTAACGTTAACGTTAACATTAACGCATAAATTGTACATGGACAAATAAGTCATAACGATAACAATAACAATAATACGTAGTGTTCTATTTCTAATAGCGAAGGTTCTACATATGGATTAATCTTCAACATAAATTTCGAGATACGTATAAATTAACATAAACGAATTTAAGAAAGTGTAGTTTGCAACCGATTTGAAGTTATAAAATCTGATTTTAAATTCTTTCAATTCAAATTAGCAGAATGCTATCAATATGACTCTGGAGCTCCAAAAGAACTCGATATGGCATTAAAAAAGCCCATAAAGATGGTCATGAATGAACTGCAGAGCAGGTTGTATCATCATTTACTTTAAAAAAATATTTGTTTAATTACCCTATAGTTTACAATAATATATGTGTCGGTGTTATAGCAGAGTGTTTGAAGAAATTTTATGAATAACCTTTTTCTATATTTAACCCAAAATCTTCTTTTTATAATTTAAAATTCTTAGAATTTATCTTATTTAAATATTTTGGTATTATCTTATACATAAAATCAAATCAATTACGTATGTGTTTGTAATTCTCAGTATAATTGTTAGGGCTGTTAATCAGTCAAAGAAACCAGTTCCCAAACATTTTCTACTTGAAACGACAAGGATATAGTTGAGTACAGGACGTGACATTTTAATAAGATCGACTTTTGAACTACATGTACAATAAACTAAAGTTCTATACTGTTACGTATATTTCTGAAATTCTGAAATCATGTCATGTTGTATTATTTAGTAATTAAATGGTTTAAATAAAAATGATGATAATTATTGTAAATTTTTATAGTTTTATAGTTCTCAAAAATAATAGTTTAATAAAAAAAATACTGATCAATATCAATATTATTATCGTTAAAAACTTTTATATTACGTATTAGATTGACATATTTGACATGTTATTATATCTGACTAATTCTATACACTTGCTCATTCATAATCCGGTTTATCTGCAACCAATCATATCCCCAAAATTAAGCGATAATAAAAAATTTAGTGAATTTTCACTGGTTCTTATAATTAATGTTAAAAAAATACATGTTGATTGATCTCTTAATTTGCCTTAGATAGCAATAAAAATGCTTCTATTTCGAACTCGAACCAGACTTTTGAGTACCATAGTATATATCGAAAATTGAATTCGACTAAAAGTTTTGGATCACAAAACATTCTAGAGTCTAATATCGATTTAATGCCTCTGGTTTCTATACCCGTTTTAAAGCCAACAACCTAGCGAATTATTTTAAAAAAATACAGTATATATCGATATCGAACTGAACTTGAACATATGTCAAAGTCCAGTTCGATCGGAACACTACCCCTCTCCTAAAAATCAGGCGATAAACGTTCCTACTCTTATTATTCTAGCAAAAATCTATGCGGAATTCCTGAAAACCCAAAACCAATAAATACAATATAGTGAAAAAAGAATATTCTAGAAATGTATTATGCAAATGGGAGCACAGAAAATTTTCCATAATCATGTAATCACGCAAATGGGTCATGCTTTAACTAATTTTCTTAGTATGACATATCATTGATTCAATATAAAAATTATTTTTGCTTTCTTTAGATTTCATTAAAAAATTTAATTAGTTACAAATTCCACATAACTAATTTCACAATTGGTTTTTACAACCGATGCCTGAGTGATCATTTTATATTTGTCATCAAGATTGGTTCCAAATAAAGGAAGCGAGCAAACATAAACCATTATGTTATCGAGTTCGTTTCCATCCCATGAACCTTCCATAAATTCTGTATTAATTTTATCGAATTTTTCATACCATATATACTATAATCTACAACAGGTTCTTGAATCTGCAATCAAAAACAGAAAATCGTTATAATCCGTCGGATAATTCCAATAGCCATGAATTCGATTTCATTTTTTCTTTCAAGTTTTTTTATTGTGCGGTAACGATTCACCTCTTCCACAATTTTTCCTGCAATTGTGTAATGAACGGATGTTCACCTTTATCAGAAATTTCAAAAAATCCTCGATTGCCAAGGATACTATAAACAACTGACGTAATTTCGTGTGAGCTGCATGGGTACTTCCTCGGTTCCAACGCGGCATGTAGAAAAGACCCAAATGTTCTAGAAACTTATGCATTGTAGAATCAAATTTGCTTCCAGATATTGCATATCCTTTCCTTTAGTCTTGCGTTGCCCGTTTGCTTTGGCTTCCTTCGATTTTGAGTTGCTCGTTGGCTTCTCAATAACCGTTCTGATGATAAGTTGCTGCAAGTCACCTTGGATTAGGAGCTTGTTGAGTTTCTTTCCTGTGGTTTTGGCAGAATATCCATACTTATTCAAAAGTTTTTCGTCTCTTCCTCATTTACATCGGTTTATTTAAACTGCAAACTTCAAGGTTGTGTTGTAAACCTTTGATGTATTTATCAGTTGACCAACATTATTACGACGTGATCTCCAAAACGAAATTTTGCCTCTCCCAAAGCGAATTGATATTTGGCACCTCGTCTTTCAGGGACTTATGTGTATTATGCAGACTTTTTCTTGTCTGATCCTTGAATTCCAAATCTGTTTCCAACTGTTCTTTTTCGTTCTGGAGCTGTTAAATGTACTTCGATTATTTACTAATTGCTCCAATTCATCCACATAAACTAATTTGATTTCTCTCAGAGAAAGGTTGTACTGGATCTTCCGATTTATTCCTGCTATCCACACAAACTGATCCGGTTTGTCTCGAAGAAGGATTGTGCTGGATATTCCTGAATACTGAGGTTTATTACTATCCACATGAATTAATTCGGATTGTCTCGAAGTAGGGTCGTGCTGGATCTTTTGATTTGATGCGTCGATTTCTGGATGTTGTTAATGCGGATTTTCATCACAATCCATAACTTCGGTATCAGACATTTATTAAACTATCAGTTATGATAATTTTTTGTCTCTGGAATCTTGGTTTAATGTAACGCATGTATATATATATATTTGAATTAATATTTATAAGTGTGATTATTTTTACGTTAATGCTAAATTTTTAAAAAATGCATTATATCAATAGTTTTTGATAAGTGCTATCAAGTAACGTATTTTGATTTAAAGTTCATAGAAAAAAATCCTTTGCTATTCAAAGTATTTGATGTGATTAAGCTGGGCGCACCACATGTACGTATTTATAAATAAATCATTTCTGATTTAACATATTCATCTAAATAAGATCATTCGAAATCTATAAAGTGAATTGTCTTAATTAATTGATGTAAATCCCCTATCGCTATCTGAATTAATAAAATCTTTATCTTCGATTGAAAAGCAATTGCTGCTTGATAAGCAATACTTACTGAAAAGGACTCTTGAAATATGTCTATTTCCAAATTGCTAACTTCATCTACTGTTAATGGAAAAGATCTATCGGTATGACCAGTATTTGGATGTGAAATCATTATCTATGTCCATGTTCGCAGAGTTTGCCGCGTACAATTTATTTAACCACGAGACAAAGCAATTTATTGTAGATAATTGTGCTTTCTAAAACATTTATACAATAATTTGGATAAAATAATCTTATAACAGACTCATTTATTAAAAGAAAGCATTAATCAAATTGCATTTATTATTTACTTGATACATGTGTAACTTAAAAGAACATGTCTTCCTTGACCATATCAATCTCGATATTGACAAATTAAGAAGTTTAATTTTAAACTAACAATCTACGTGTCGATGAGTTGCATCAACATTGTTTTTAATATCATTCGCTTAGCACTCAGTCTATCGTTGATAGTTGAATTAATGCTTCTAGCATAGATTCGGATCTTCAGAATATTAAATCTTTACAAAATTGAGTTGATTTTTATGAATATTGAAGATTTCATAAATAAAACATTTTAATTAGTGGATGATCAAAAATTAAGGTAATATATACAATGGTCAAAAGCTACAACGCATTTATACTGATTCAATTAAATATCTGATTATTCAATAGTATAAGAGTTATATTATGGTTTGATGTATGCTTTCGATTCATTAAAAATCGGTGAGACAAATAAAAACTAATTACATATGTATTACCTAGCTTATAAATAATAAATAAATATATATATAATAAAATAAAAAATAAAGTAAAGTAAATAATTAATTAAATATATAACAAAATATAATAATAATACAAAAAAATAATTAAGAAAATCTCTTGTGAATTGGTAAGTCATTTACATGATTGCAATTTCATAAATTATGGAATTAACAAATTTAATATTATTCGTTTTTATCTATATTACAATCAGATAGATAATGGCAAAGTATTTTGTTCATCAGTAATTATAGGACTTATGCAAATATTGCCATTGGTAAAAATATTCAACGGATAATCACAGTTGGGGCATTATTGATATTTTTATTGAGCACTAAATTCGAACCTTTGGGCACAGCTAATTTTCCTGAACTTGATATTATATCATCTAGTAAAATCTCAATCAGAGAAACAGCACGGCTCCAAAGCATAGGTACAGTCAAACCTCGTTATAGTAAAGGTGTTCAGGCTATTAGTGAAAAATTTTCTAAATTCTCTATATCGAGTGGATTTAATATATATACTGTTTTTTGAGCTCAACTTCACTATATCGAGAGTTGACTGTACATCATGTGCAATTTGTAGCTGTAAAAAAAGTGGTGGTAAGTGTCAGAATAAATAAACAGTTTATCCAATTGTTATGTACATGTAATTTGTAAGCATAAAAAATGAAACATGCTTTTAAATAAAGTGTGAAATTTTTGATTTAAAAAGTTATTTTAATTTAATTCATAAATGCGTCAGATTAGAGATTGGAACCGGATGAAAATGATATATATATAAAATTTATGTCAAGTAGAAAACGTTCATATTTCATTTCATAAATATGTAGTGTTTATAGTCGATTTTGTTTTAGTAGATTTTATCGATTTTAAAAAAAATTTATTTTCGACACCGGCTTCTAATATTTTTTCACTTCACGATATATAAAAAATTCTGCACGAGATAATCGTGAAATCATACATAAATTTCTGATCCGGATGACCCCGGTTTAGTATAACCCGGTTCCAATCTCTACGTCATATTACAACTGACATATCAGATTATCTGAGGCGCTTCGGCTGTCACCTGACGTAAGCATCGATCTGAGACAATGATGGACAAAATTAGGTCATTTGCTATTTAACAAGTGACTTTTGGTCACTAGATTTTAATATTTAATAGGTCACTTGAGGTTACTTTGAGGTCACTGTCTAAATAATATAATGTAAAGAGGTTAACCTATATGATGACATCTCTCTCAATTACATTATTCACACTTATACAAAAGTACAACTATATATGCAATATCTTATATTTGTAATTACTAAATTTAACGTAAAATAACTAGATTACAATAAAATAATGTAAATGATAATCATAAATGAATACATTTAATTTACAGCATGCCTTTTTGCTAGATAATTATAACCGTTCTTTTTTGTACCAAGCCAACGCCATAAAAGATCTTTTGAAACTCCAAATCCGTATTGATAGCATTCAGCCAATTTGAATTGAGCGAACATAACCCTAAATTCAGCGGATTTTAAATAACATTCAAAAGCATTTTTCTCATCTTTTTGCGTCCCAATACCATTTTGATAACAAATGCCAAGATTGCATTGTATTTTAGCATCTCCGCCCTTTGCTGATTTCACATACCACTCAAAAGCTTTTTTCTCATCTTTTTGTGTTCAATACCATTGTGATAACAAAAGCTAAGGTTGGATTGTCCACCTTTAGCCGATTTCAAATACCACTCAAATGCTTTTTTGTCGTTTTTTAACGTCCTAATGACATTTTGATAATAGAAATCAAGCTCACATTGTCCCCTAACATCTCCGCCCTCTGCTAATTTTAAATACCATTCAAAGGTTTTATCGTCGTCTTTTTGCGTCCCAATACCATTTTGATAACAAAAGCTAAGCTTGCATTGTCCTTTACTATCTCCTACCTTTGCCGATTTGAAATACCACTTAAAAGCTTTGATTTTGTTGCTGAGTGTACCAACTCCATTATAGTAGCAAATTCTGAGTAAATATTGAGCAATTGCATTATTTTTCTTTGCTGATTTTTTATAAAATTTAAAAGCAGTTTCAAAATACTGTTTAATTGTTATCCCAAAATGGTACAAAACCATGCAAGACTATGAAATATTCGATTCTTATATTTGCAAGAAATTATTTCATTTAAGAGCACTCTCTGCTAATAATACTATTGTATTAATAATTATTTGCATTTTATTTGCAGTTTTATTTAACCTTGCGAAGAATGAATTATTGTATTAAAGAATATAAATATTTCCTCGACAATTGAATGTTTGTTTTTTTTACGATGGGAAATAACTATATTATATTATCATCATTTATAACAATCAGATCATTAGCTAAATATATTTAGTAATCATGATTATGTATATTTGATTCTATTAGTTCACTTATATAATGAACTCACTCTATAATGAACCAAATATTCCAGCCCAAGTGGTTCATTATAACCAGAGTCTATTGTACTATTTTTTTTTCAAGTTTATAATGAGCTAAAAGATTTTATAATTTTTTATTAGTGCTCAAAGAAGTTGAGTCAGATTGAATTTGAAATATATTCAACTTGATCTGAGTATAAAATCAAAATATAAAAAAATATCTGGATTAGTATTTATATAATCTGAATTTAATTTAATCGACTTAAACTTTATCAAAAATAATAAAATTTAAAAACAATAAATAAATTATAATTCAATTTAAAAAATATAAGAAAAAATTAAATGCATATTATTATTATTTTCAATAAAAATTTTGTAATTCTTTAATTTCAAATTATTATTAATTATAATATATTATAATTTAATTCAATGATAATTATATTAATTTTTTCTTTGATTTTTATTTTATATATAATTATACAACTTATTTAATACGTATAAATTTTATGAATATGATTCATAATATCTAAAGTCATCAAATATTTATGTTTTATAAAATGTATAAACACTTTTATTAAAAAGTAAATACCAAATTTAATCCATGAATATGCTCAAAAAAGACCTAGTCTATTATATTTGCAGATTAAATTTTGCATTTACTTCTTTGTAAAGATGTTATATATTTTGTAAAATACAAATATTTGATGACTTTAGATATTATACACCATATTATTCTCTTTTTGATCAAAAATTAAAGAATTATAACAAATCATATTCTTGTATACTTTCTACTTTATTTTCACTTTTATTTTCATCTTTATTTCTCTTGTATTTTTTACTCAAAAATTAATAATATTTGCTATTGGTACATTTATTATTTTATTTTTTATTTTTATTTTTATTCTCATTAATATTTTATTTCTATTTTTGATATTATTTTTTCTCATAATTTATTTTGTGGTATTAGAATTTTCTTTAGAATCTTTCTTTTTACTGTAATCTTAATTTTTCTTGTTTCTTATTCCTAATATTCTTGTAAATTTTCTCTTTATTTTCATTTCTATTACCATATATAATTTTTCTGGTCTTTATTCTTCTTTAATAATTAGTCATGTAAATCACAAAATCTATTGAAAATGTATAAAAGAAGAGTCTATCATCACTAGAAACTCTTATGCTCTGATTAATAAAAATAACAAAGTTCTTATTTATAATATTATACTTGTGAATACATTATTATTTTTATGTTCATCTTCAAATCTTGACTACAAGTAGTGGATGCTCTTTCACTCTAAATAAGCTGTTGACTTTATTATTTTTAGGCCATGTGAATAAGTCCTGTTTATTTTATATCAATATAGTTAACTTCTTTATTGGCAGTCTCAATTAATCTTTTTATTTCATTAGACAGTCACTAGTTTTATTTTAATTTATTATTTCAAACACATATATGTACAAATTGTATCTGTTTTAAGACTACATTTTTTATCTGCTATCAGATCAGTTCCACCAAAAAAAAACTCATTCTACTGTAACACTTATTGCTATATTAAAATAAACCACACGCTATGTGTATATTAAATGTATTCAGAAAATTTTATTTGTATGCTCAATTTAAGAAATTATATCGTATAAATTATTGCTAATTTTGCCTAGTAATATTTGTATTTAAAAATCGTATCCATCGCATAATTGATTCCAATCACGTCGCATAATTTACTCTTTCGTATTGCATAATCCTGGACACCCTATAACTCGAGAGATTACCTGGGTCGAACAAAGGTACGACCCTGACTTGTCGGGTTAGATTAAATTTAGAACTCGTGTTATTAAACTGATAAACCCGACTCGGTTTAAAACTCGAGTCAGGTTAAATAATCCGGGTTGATTCGACCGGCTCGTACAGTGGCTCACATATGTAACTGAACACGAAAATTAACTTTTTAGCATTTTTATTTCCATGACTA